TGCTCAAATCAGCAAAATAAAAAACTTTTGCAAAATGTGATATTTATATATACCGGTATATAGAATACAAGCACGTAAAATATGTTTTCAATTATATGCCCATCAGCTATTTGTCAATCTGTTTGTCGAAGAGTGACGGAATCCATTGAAAGAGGACAAATTCAATGTGAAAAAAAGCTGCAGCATCCATCTAGAGATTAATTCAATTTCTTTTTTGCATTCTCAAAATCCATCCCCTATATTATATGCTACTTATGTAGTGTATGTTTTGTTTCATCATGTTGAATGACAATAGTTATTCTTGTGCTGACAAACTGATTTTTTCAACAGTTCTTCGTCAAGCAACCATCAATCATTCCAGCTTAGATGCTCACCACAATTCTGATCCTTCAATATCCGCCCAAAAACATGGCGCATATACTTTGCTGAGGGTGAAAGATCGTTCCAAAATTAAAATCCAATGTCAATATCCGAATCTCACCAAAAAAAATTGCCGGTGGATTACCGACAGCACCATCATAAAGCCCCAAGGAGGTTATAGTAATTATGGAAACACGACTATGCTGGTGACATTGGACACCAACGGGTCAAAACGGAAATTACCTGAAGGGTACAATAGCACGAAGCTCGAAGGTGTTCATGTGGAATTTGTACCAGCAGGCAGCACCCACGACATGGGTTCCTGTAATCTGTTTATTGACAGTTTCAAGAAGGAGATGGTTGACCTGTTTTGGTGGTGTGCACCCAAATCCGAAAAAGTTCGCATACTCCCATCATCATGGGTAGTCATTACTCAAAGGGATGGTATGTTGAGTGCATTCCAAAAAGCACTGCGCTACTCAGCATTTTAATTTTGAATGACGTTTTTGCGTTTATGTCTGACAATAAGAAGATACACTGGTTTCTATATATATTTTGTATGCTGTAATCGCAGATGAGTGATCAGAAATACCTGCCTAATTTTTTCCGCTTCCAAAAGACATTTAGTTATTTTAAAAAAAATACATGCTGTGCGCATATTTCATGATTCTGGCCCAAAAACTCTATTTTATCTCTATTGTGATTCTGAATTCCTGCGTAAAATTAATTTTCAAAAGCAGCTAATATGAGAACAAAAAAATATGAGTACTGTATTGTGAAAAGTTTCTCTGGTACTTATTTATCAGACTATTTTTTTTTACAATTATCTGACTATTTATGTCTGAATATTTATGCGCTGGCCCCTGGCTGTGATGAATCACAAATGAAGGTCATTTTTTCAGAAATGAATGCGTTTTCATCAACTCCAGGGGCTTGATAGAAAAGAAATAAACTTGTAAGAAGAAAGAGTGAAGATAATCATAATACTGTACTGTATTAGAACACATTATCCTACAGGAATCCTTCAGCTTGACTTCTGTCTGCATGTAGGTCATTTTTCTCATAATTTCTACTTATGTCTGCCTTTCAATATCAAAAAAGAGAAAATCTGAAATAAATCTTAAACTTTTAGAGAGTTTCTATTATTTTTGTGATTCTACCATCAGGAAAGCTCAGACAGGACATTAAACCGTTGGCAAAGTCTCACAATGAAAGAAAAACTGACCGACATTTATTTCATCAGCATGTAATTGTGTGTTACATCCATTACTGTTATCATTAGAATCCTGTTGAGAGAAGGAAATTACACTTTACAACGTTTTTTCATTGCAATTTCCCAACATGACACAGCAGTATATAGTAGGAGAACCTGCTGGTTGTTAAGTTCCTTTATTCTTTTATTTTATTTCATCTGCTTCACATCTGATGAGATAATCTACTGGTCAATTGCCATATGACAGCACCAAAGTATCATGTATGTTTACAGACGATTGTAAAAACTACACCGACTGCAAATGGGATGAAGGGTGCAAAAAGGGGCAAGACGCGCAGGCGAGTGAAATATTGAAAGTTTGCAGACAACTTTGCGACGCCAAAACCAACCAAACTATGTGCTTCAACTTGATTTCTCTGGAGAGTGAAAATTTCGAGGTTAGATATACAAACTTCAGGAAGTGAGATGATGTGCATAATTGCATTGAAATTACAGGATATGTATAGGTGTGTTTATGCGTTATGATACAGGTTTGAAATTTAAAGTGAAAGTATTAGATAAATTTGGAATAAACAATATTTTTCAAACCGCATAAGACTACAGAGTTGAAATGTATATTCCAAGGCTTTGGATTAATTTGTCTTTCTGTAAATATAATTTTCATAATTTGTTTTATACTTTACAGCATTACATTTGAAACAAACATTTTAAAAACATGTGTTTGAAATAACTGTTGAAAATATCAGTCATATGATTTATTAAATGGAGATACTGTATATTAAAAGACAAAAATCCCTCTTTTTGTTTAAATAAAAAGTTTTTCTCTTGGACTTGGATACAGTGGCCCCCCCCCCCCGCCTAACAGACCTCCCGTGTAAGGGATTTTTGCTGAACAGACCAGCTCTGCAAGCACTTGTTCTGAGTTGGGATAAATTGAAATTTCCAGCATGATGAAGGCTTATACACTGTATATAACTTTTATTCAAATATGTTTGTAAAGGTTGACTGTATTTCTATTTCCAAGACGCATTTATATATGCCTTACTTTTTAACAGTTTTCTATCTTTTTTTGATGAGAAGTTTGCAAGAGAAGTGCCAGCACATTTTGAGCTGCGCATATGAGGTCAGACTAGCCCAGGAGTGTTGACCTGTTATCTTTCCGGCAGGATACAGGAAGCAAAACTGCCTCTTGTCCATCGTGCCAGAGAGGATTTAGCTTCAGCACTGGAAAGCGCAAAATTTGGACTAAGTGTGTGAAGAGTTGTATGAAAGAAAACCCTCCCTGTTTGTCAGAGGCTGAAGTGTGCAAAATTGTCCCAACAGCCAGAGTGTGAGTATTGGAGATTGCTTATTTAATCATCAATCCCACTTTCATTATAAGCATGTGCAGTAATTTTAGGATTTCTGTTTTTAAAAACCTGCTCCGCAAATTTACATTTGTATGTAAATGGAATAACAGTCAACCTTTACAAACATATTTGAATAAAAGTTATATACAGTGTATAAGCCTTCATCATGCTGGAAATTTCAATTTATCCCAACTCAGAACAAGCAAGATGATTTTACAAATGTTCCATCTGCAAATCTCTACTTCATCAGTTTTTTTATTTTATTAATTAGGATTGTGATGTGAAGCAATTCCTAAATAACAGAGCAGCAAACCTTTTTTTGGATATAGTTTGTAAAATAAGCCTGTTTATTTTTCTGCAGCAATTTGCCCATCTGTCACAATCAACAATGTATGGACAGAACCAACTGTATTGGTGGAAATAAAGTTGGAAAATGTCTGTGCAAAATGTGCACTTTCCCCATTTTACCTTTGGACAATCATAACCAAACAATTTCACTGGAAGATGCAGCAGACAAATATGGCTGTCAACATGAAATCACAGGAATGCATTCAATGTCTGCTACTCATGATGAGCACTCACAAACACAGCTGATGTGCAGTAACTCAAAAAGGCAGAGGAAGGAAACAAGTGCAAATTGCCAACTGCTGGACTTGGATGGAAAGTCACAATTCACTTTGACTTGCCTAGTAGACAGGGCTTTTCCAAAAGGAAACCTAGAATGGTTCCTGATCCCTGCTGTAAATGGATGGTTGAAAGTACATCATGATGTTACTAGGAATGCAATCAAAGCCTCAGATGAGGGATACTTCATCACCTCATCTATGAATTATTCTGGCAATATGGTTATGAATGATTCTAACGATATTAAATTCCTGACCACTGTTGAGAGTTCGATCAACATAATGCGAGAAAATTTGACTGCAGACGTAATTGTTTGTTGCCGATGGTCGAGTGAGGCTTCAATTTGGAACCTTTGCACACGGGTTACGCAATTTCAAGGCAAGTATAACCGTAATATCAGTTTTTTTCTTCGTGTTACAAACTGATTACCACATAAACTACCCCCCCCCCCCCTCATTCATAAGCCAAGAGTTTCCATGTTAAGGAAACCGTCCTTTTTGCTGAGGAAAAAATCTAAATGTACATATATACAGGGAAATGAGAAAAAAGACAGTAATCCTCTTTAACCTTGAACCTGTGCACAAAAAAATAAGTGTCAGAATACTGAACTCATTGGAGGCAATATACAGTATATAAAAGGCTGACTTCCTTTAAAATGAAGAATCAGATAAGATTTGTATTGCTCATCTATATGATTTTCTGGGTACCCAATAATAAATAGCTAGCCCAGAGGCTTATCAAGATTTGACTTACAGAGATTTCAAGAAGAAAGCCTTTTAGTTATATGATGTTCTATAATGCATTGATCTTTTGATCGAGATTGATCATTGACCCCTTTTGGTACAGCAATCAAATGACAGTGACCCCCTGCCTAACAGACCTCCCGTGTAAGGGATTTTTGCCAAACAGACCAGCTCTGCAAGCAGTTTTTCCTCCCGCCCAACACACAAAATCCACCCAACAGACTTCTTTTGGTTAAAAATTAGTGTTGAAAATTGAAATTTTTAATTTTTTATGTAATTGAATTTGTGTAAAGGACTTTTCGTCAAACAGACTCGTCCCTTGCACAAATCAAGTCCATTAGACGGGGGTTGACTGTATAGCACAACAAGGAAGAATTCCAATTAGTTGAGTGAATAAACTACCTGGACCCAGAGTTGGTTTCCTTGACACTGTTGACAGTGTTTGTTTTTAACACATTTGAAATCATGGTACAAAATAAGTGATTGTTTGAAAAAAATTATCAAGTGATGGTTTTATATGATGTGTGCCTTAAAAATCTTGGGAATAAATGCTCCCCTGAGGTGAAGATGCCAATTCTTTTCCCTTTTGGCATATGCTCAATTTTATGATCTGAATATATATAGGCCCTGGATAAATAAACAATGGTTTAAAAAGCTAAATAAACATATTTTGATGGTTTTTTCTCATTCAACTCAGGAACAGCCCAATCCATGGAATTGACCATTATTGCAGTAGGTGTGGGTTCTGTAATCATCTTCGTCATTTTTGGACTGGCTTTGTTCATAGTCGTCTCGAAAAGACGAGAAATGAAGAAGAAGATGCGAAAGACTGATGGCCATTTGACTTCAGATGAGTTTAATGGTGAGTGTGCATGTGGATTTAATTTCATTAAAAGAAAAGAATAGGTTTCTCACTATATGCAGTATATAGATGCTATTATTGCAAAAGCACGCTTATGAATTGTGGTTCAGCAGTTGAAATTGAGCAACTGCACAAAAACTTGACATAAGGCAGAAATAAGCACTTTAGTGTTATAATCATTTGCAAAATACGGATCCTGCAGACTGAACAATTTTCTGAGTTTTCCTTTTTATTCTTGACTCTCCAGATCATATATATGAAGATATTTCCCCTGGTAGAAGTCAGCCAGAAGCTGGAACTGCAAATTTAGAACGTACTCCAACAGCAGCAATAAGTACGAAAGACCAAGGAGAACTCATCTATGTACAGCTGGAATTCAGCAACTCGCATTCAGGTGGGGCAACCAGGGATCCATCAAATGGAGTCAAGTTACAGAATTTTGCAGCAGTAAAGAAGCAGAAGGAAGAAGAATGTATTTATGCCAATGTTGTGGGCTGCATGGTGGACCAATAGGTAATGAACAATGAGCCTTTTGTGAAGATTAACCATCCTCACCATGCATATCATAATTCAAATGCTGTGTATATATACTGCGGTATATACTCTTTTTTGTAGATATACAAATGCTGACGACAGCTTCTTGGCCTTTTATGTTAATGCAACTCTGAGATGGGCTCTGTTTCAAATTAAATGTCCATGATGCCACAACAGTGTTTGCTCATTGTTTTGTCTTTCAGCACGGACTTCATCAGTGCAATCAACATTATTTGCTTGAATGAGGCCGATTGACATGAATATACAGTACTAAAGCTAGCTTGCTGCACAGAAATAAGAGGCAGTGCTTGGCAACTTATACTGTATTCTGCGCAACCTTCTACATGCTGTCCGTGGGAGGCCATTCGAAGATGAATTGTTGAGAAGGAACACGCATTATCAACAATGAATATTAAGATACTTATTCCAGCCCAAAATAAATATAAAATACAGTAGCACAGTATGACAGCAGTATATACAGTAAGTACAGTAACAGCATGAAAAAACATGAAACTGCCGATGTGTTTTAGCGACATCTAGGGCTGGTGTCAGACAGGTAATTCTCGTTGACTTGGCCATTGTCGAGGACGTGGTCGTTCAGGGTGATTTGTTGGTTCACTTGGATGTGGTTCCTGGATGAGTTGTGGTCTCCTTAAATTGTATGCAATTCGTTTGTGTGATACAGGATCTGGTCATCGAATTGGACGCGTTACGATGTTACGACGCATATGCACCGTCCAGCGTTCATTCTTTTGATGGAGAGTCATTGTGTTGAATTGAATTTGTCTGAATGACTGATTTTGTAGCAGTATTTTGTCATTCCTTCGCGAATAAATCCAAGGAGTTCGCAAATGTCGCAAGATATCGGTTCTTCTCCTAGAAGTCGAACCTTTGGCTTCTCTTAGGGATAATTGTTCGTTCTCACTTCAAAAATCTGTTTGATTTGGTGTTGATTTGTATTGACTGTGGAAACGGATCAAAATCCCGAAATATTTTTTGATAAATAGGAATGAACCCGACCTTTTTCTATGAAATCGAAATCACAACGCCGCAGGCAACTCGTTTCTTTGCAAAACATCCCGTCATGATTTTTATGTATATTGCGTCTTTTCCGTGAAACGTTGCATGGGTCAGAAGTGTGATCTAAGCATGAACTCTTCTAGATTCCTTATTGAATCTGTTTAACTTTTTCCCCGAGTCATATTTGTCTCTAAAAGGCACCGTTTCAGACTCGAAGGCCAGAGGTCTATTTGAAAACTTATGATCGTAGGACTTGATTATGGGTAGAAGTTGATTATGACGGAATGAGTGGTCGAGAGTTTAGTGTGATACAAAAAGTGAATAGTGGCATCTATCTGACACTTTTTATCCGATTATCCTCGCGATGTTGAAATGAAGCAGATTGTGGTCAAATCACAGTGCTCAAATTTCATCTGAATGACGAAGTTCAGAACCGACGGATTGCTTGTGGGTGAGAATTCTAGATACATTTTTCAACCATTGCTCGTTCATGGCATTTTATTTCTAACGCTGTAATGTACAATTTTCATTTTTTCAGGCATGAAGCCTTGAAAACGTGATTGTGGAAATGAATTTGAAGAAATTAGCTGCTTGGTCTTCCAGCATCCGTTGTAAATAATACAGTAGTTTGGTACCCTTCTTATGCTGATGAGGGGTTTTCAAAAATGAGTTCTGGACTTATGGTACTGTTTTCTCCCTCTCTTCGGGAAATGAGGAATCCGGAATTTAGATTAATGGATTGATATTGAATCCTTCCGTGGTTATATTCTGATACCATATTTGCCAACTCTGATTGACATTGAGAGAAGTGCGAGTTGGTATTTGATGATTTGTAAACGTTTGGATAGTCCTTGGAATGCTAAACTTCAAAATATGGAAAATATCTTCAGATGTACTGCCTCACTTCTGATTATCGGGTGGCAATAAAAACATTATTTCCGTCCTGGATATTTTGGGTTGTGATGCTGAATTTGAAGAGTGCCTATGAATTTCAAACGATGAGGGATAAATTGATAAGTTGAGGTTGGCGTTGAAGATACGGCGATTCTTTGGAAATACAGCGGAGTTTCCTTGTTATTCTGGTGATTTTTGCACTCGGAATCAGACGATCGAGTACCCGAAAAACTGTTTCAATTAGGGGCTCAATAATTTATAATCATTGGTTACATTTTAGAGGAGGACTGAAGTGAAAATGTTACTTCAGTGATTTACTTTTTTCATCGCCAACGCATTGACAAATTTCAAGGGACTTTGCTTTTGACAGTTTTGAGCCATCTCTTGTGCTTGAATTTCAGGTGACCCGGAGGTTTCCTAATTCTACAATTTTATTTTATATTTTGCTCTCAGTGATTTGGAGTCCAGAGATTTTTAAAATCACAGTGATGAGCTAAAGGAAAACCTATTTTCCGCCACGTAAGCGTGAAGTCGGCTGTGGAATCGATTGTCCTCGACCGCGACTCTTGTGGCCATTAGCTTCGCTCCTATTTTCCTCCTCCTGAGAGAAGCAGCAAAATATAGAAAATGTAGGTGATGACTGCCATTGTCTTATTCTAGTTCCCTTCTTTCCTTCCTGTTTTTTTTTTGGTGAGGACATGTTATATTGGTTCCTGTTGTCTTCGGCTTGATCCGTTCTGCGGTTTCGGCAAAGCTCTACTTTTTTCCCTCACTCCTTTAATCGCTTGCCCATCGTGGGTCAAAAGCGTGGAATTGGTGTCACTGGGACAATGAAGCTTTGCGCTTCCGTTCCCCCCCCCCACCTCATTGTTCTTTTTTATGTGAAAATATTCTTTCGTGTATTTTTATTAGAAGAACGCGTGTTTCCCGCTTGGAAGACTGACAGTCGTCTTTTACTGTTCGTGCGAATTCACGCGAAAAGTGTAGATTTTTTGTGTACGGTACGACAACGGAGCAAAAGGCGGGAGTAAAGTCATACCCTCGGGGTTGCTCTTAACAGTCATAAGTCTGGCCAGACGACAAGAAATCATTGCAGGTGTTTGAAACTTTGTGTTTAATTAGCACCTGATTTTTAAGCTTGAAAGAGATACGAACAGAAAATGAATTGAAGAAATACATCTAATTGAGAGATAGAAGTAGAACTTCGAGAAACTCGTTTCAAGGTAATGCATTATACTCAAGAAAAATATCTCTCAGACCTGCTGCACGACATTTCAGTGACGGCTGTGTGCGGGGTTTCTTCTTGGTGTTTCCACCAAGCTCTGAAAAGTTGGACTTTCCGTGCTTAAAAAATGGAAATCTTGAAGGAATCATCTATACACGCGTAATCACGGATTGCGTCTCGTTCAAAAAGGTGTTAGGACTGGGACTGAAAATGTATCAATTTGGGATTACCAATTTCTCCGTTTTGATGTAAAATACCGTGTAAGTCGTTCCATTCTTTTATGCTCGATTTTTCAATCTGATTGGATGTTATCCATCAGTAATTTTTTGGCGTCTTCTCCTCCTGAGTGATCTTCACTAAAATGAAAACATTGATCTTGCACTCAAATAAAGACTGCAGAATAATGCACGATTTTGCACCGGCTGGAATGGTATTTTTTCTCCATTTTTGTTATGGTTCGACTGCTTCTGTTATCTGTATGTCTTTAGGAGATTAAAAATATGCGTTCAGAATAATGAAAATTGTCGAGCGAGTGTTTTTCTGAGTACAGTTAGATAAATTCTAAAATTGTAGCTCTTCACCAAGTGTACTTCGCAAATTGTAATTGTAACAAGTTCTGCTGTCGAAAATTGTCCCCGAAAGAAGAAACCCGATCACAGTTGTTATGTTACTTATGTAAGTGTGGTTATTCTGAAGAAAGCTTCTGTCAAAAAAAATCATCACCCAGTCTAAACGTGAGAAGGCCTTGTATTTTAATGCCAAAGATTCGAGAAAAGCAAAGATCTCAGAATTTGGAAACTCAATTTTCATAAAACTTATAAATCGCAGGATTTCCATTTCCTTCCTCGTATTGTAGAGAAATAGAGACCAAGAACGGAAGAAAATTCGGGATGAGCCATGAAAACACCAGCCGGTGTTTTTCATGTCTCATCAGTTTTCCACTTGTTATTTGGACACCGACACTTACCTAGGAAAGACTCGCACCACAGGCATTGTTTTTCTTAATTTTTTCAAAAAGAAAGAAAAACTTATGTTTTTCTCATTTTGTGTGTGAATTATTCGACGTTGAACTCATGTGACGTGAAATGCGCTGTCAGACGTGATGAGATTGCGGTTTTTCTGTGCGATGGTGAAAAAGCAACTTGGTGGTGACCCTATAGTGTTTCTGCGTTCTTCGCATGCTCGCGCGTTTCAGAAAGTAAAATGTTGTTGATGAGTTCATTGAAGCCATTTCTTTCTTCTGATAAATGTAACCTCTGAATCGAATCACGAGGGAATTCAGTTCTACTCCGTACAGTTTGTCTATCAATTCGATTCTCTCTAAATCAGTTCACTGAAAATTCCAGAACGAAAAAATTGTATTTTTTCAAGAATTTCAACGATGTTTCGTTTTCGAAACTAAGAATCCGTCTGGAAGTCGATTGAGCGGAGTGGGCGACATCTACTTGATGCGACGAAATGTGATTGCCGTTCCGTGTCGGAAGGATTTGGAGGATCAATAATGTGGATTAGAGCCGTAGAATTCCAAAATTAAATTAATGTTGACTGTACTTTGATTTTGAAAAGAGTATTTATGTTTTCCCGTTACAGATCGTATCCCGGAGCTGTCGAATCGTAGAAGAAAAGGTGGACGACGCAGTGATGAAGATTGTGATTGTGATGAACAAAGCCAGTGATGCACTCGGCGCGTGCAACTGAATTCCCCGCTGGACAATCGCGTCCGATTGACACGACCTGAAATCCGGACACTAATAATCAACAACAGCAACAACGAAAAAAAAAAACAATTAGGAAACTTTCAAGTGCCTGTAGGAGAAGCCGAGGTTGGAAGCCGGGTCATTTGAAGGGTGTGCAAAAGCTGCGACGAGGCACCGCGTGAACAAATTATGCCGCGCCTGGCATCGATGGTGGCTTGGTCCGTAGTAGCGGTATCGCTGGTGGTGGTGGCGGCTGCAGCTGGGAGAAGAGGCGCCGCTTGTGGGCTCAGTGGTGACGGCACCATGCGATATGCCTGGGGAAACGCCTTGGACCCTAAGGCAGCCGATTGCTTGGGTCCCGAGGGCCAGCGTTACCCCAAGTGAGATATAGTTATTTGTTTTGAGAACCCCGTGTCTTGCTCTTTTTTTTGTTGAAAGCTTTGTTAGGGATCTAGGAAAATTTAAGACGGACTATTGAGGAATTAACACTTTTAGAAAATGTTGAGAACAGTTATGTGAGCTACCTCACTTCTGTATCATGTTTTGTGCTAGTTTATATTGATGATACAGTACTTTAATTGTGCAGTACAGTATTTATATGAGAACTGCGGGATGATGTAATTGTAATATCCATGAGCATAACAAGATATTGTTTGAACAGGTTTTTGAAAGAACCTTTCTTTCCGTTCAATCCTCTCCTGGTCAATCTTGAACAATTTTATTTCATATGTGATTGAGAATATCAGATAAGTTGTACAGGTTAAGAAAAAAAGCATGAGAAAGAATGAAGGTGCAGATATGCAAGCATGTGAAGGTTAGCTCTTTATTTTTGCTGCCTCTGAATGACCCTTTCTCTAATTTTCCTTATCCCCTTTGTTAAGTTTTGAACTTAATTTATGAAGTTTGAGTGTTGGTTTACTTTCTGTTTTTTATTGGAACATTTTTGCCTACCCATAGCGTTTCCGAACCCGCTTCACGGGTTGAAAAACCCCTGTTGGAAGATTATTTAAATTAAGATGAATACGTTTCTTCAGGTTAGGTTGAGGTAGCTATTGTCTGAAGCTACATGGTTTCGGATGCAGCAAATAAAACAATCAAAAAATTTGTGTGGAAATTTGAAATGCGTGTTCTTGATGACATGCGGATTCCGCATGAATCATCTCGCATAGCATTTTACAATAAAAATGAAAATAGTACAGGATATGCTTCCGATTCGTGAGGCTAATGTCAGAATGGGATGCAGAGTCTTCGAAATAAATTTGTCGCTCCATTTGATTTTATGGGAAAAGGGTTGTCCCCTGGAAAATGATTCGTCTTGATGGTTCGGGAAAATTATCTTCGAAGATCATGGTATCATGTTTTACTCCATTTCACTGGAATCGTTTTTCATGTCCTTGGGTTTGAGTCGTTCTAAGCGAAGTTAATCATTTTTGACGTCAACTACGTGGTATCCAATGCAAAATTACCATTTCCTCCGTCAGGATAAATTAATTAATGAGAGAGGAAGTGTCAACCGAAGAAAATGCATCGAAGATAACCGGAAAATTGGCCTGGAAAATTTCCCCGTTTTCATCATTCACATAGCTGTCAACCCGTCATTCATCACCTGTAATGAAATCAGCGAAAGATGGAGGTTATTGAAGAGAGTAGATGACTTGTTCATAATGGAATGAGTCAAGACTCTCAAGAGTTGTATGCACTGTTTTTCGACAGTCAGCAGTGAACCACATAATCGTGTTCGACAACTTTCCCGTTTTGATATGGAATGTATGAGGCAAGTACGTTTAGCTGGGGTTTTTTATATGCAACCGCCACCTGCATTACAGACCTGGTGTATCTTTGGAAGATTAAATTGATCGTGATTTTAATTTCTATTCGTATTCCTTTCCAGGAACTTGATCAACCGATTCATCGACACAACGTACACTACGCAAGGCTCGAAAAGTCGTGAGAGCAGAGTACGGAAATTTGAAATTCAAAGTCCGCTTCTCACCAGGGAAATGCTTCTCCAATTCCACAACCAGCCTGCTGGTGTACATCACGAAAGTACGTCTGTGTGATTTTCAAGAAATATCTATAAAACTGTACTGTTCATCAATACTCGAGATGACCGTATCCGAAGCAGGTCATGGTCGTATTTTAATGAATGTTTCATGAAAAACTGGTCTGCACGAGTTTATCCGACGCGTTTGTCTTCGTAAGAAGATGAAGGTGTTGTCTGCGTTTAGATTTGGATCTTTCTTGACGAGTCATGAAACCTGCAATTTCTAGTGTTGAACGAGCGGAGAAAGAGAGCGACTCAGGTGACGAGAGAAGAAACACCGGCGTCATCGGACAATCAACGGAAGGAGTCGAAAGACGATCCAATTGCCACAAACGTCGCTAATGGAAGCTCAGCAAATGCAGAGAAAAAATCTGCAACGACTCCTGCATCATCTTGTGTTAATAATGGTAATTCGGCGACCCATGGGACGCCACCGGCGCGACTCTGCCCGACGAGGTACAACACCACGGCGCCCATGTTCGGTGTCTCACTCACGTCAGGCCGAACTGTGACGATTGTGCAGAAGTTTCCGGACCTACTTCAACAAGTCGTGTTCGAAGTTTGCGAGTGAGTGTTTCTTTGTTCATGATTGAAAATCCCGTGTCAAATTCTGTTTTTTAAGTTTTGGCGTATGAATGCATCATTTCCTTAATTTGAAATGGAGGGTTGGAAATTGTTCATACTATGTTCATTTTGATTACCAGGATTCCCCTGATCTTGTCTCTTCTTTAAATGTTCAAAAGCTTTTGGCAGAAGTTTTTCACGATGCATATTGTGCTGTTCTCCAAATCCGTGACTCTTTTAAATATTTGCGTCATGAGTTTTGCTTGAATCATGTAAGATTCTGTCTTTTTGAATGATTGATTTAGACACCGTCCTCTGAAATGGATCGTGCTGCGTTTCAAATTGGGTTGTGAATATCGTTGGAATGTGTTCTGTGCAATCCTGTGCAGGTCATCGGAGTGTGATATCCTCCGTGGCGAATGTGTTCAAACCTACGTTCCATACCTGTTCCTCGTCATCCCACTCGGACCGGTGACGTTGACGGGTCAAGACTATGTGCTAGTGGAAGCAGGCTGCGTCTGTCGGCCGAAATACGGCGTCCACGTCCCGCAAACCCTGGACGCCTATTTTGCACCGCCGCTCCCGACGGAAGCCTATGCGCAGCAAGGGAACCAATCGAGCGCCATCAAATCCCTGCCCTGAAGAAAAATGGAACAGGAATAGTGACTAAATTTTTCGTAAAGTTTCCCGTAATTATTTTGCGAAGCCTTGGAGCATTAAATCCTTGTACTTCCGTCGGTTTGTGGTGGGAAGGAGATTCTCGAGAGTCTTTTTTTGTCTTTGTTTTGTTTATGCTCTCTGATGTGAGAAGAAGTTTCATTCATTCATGATTTCTCTCATCGATTGAGCGTTGATCCCGCGAAAATTCGAAATTGTGCGTCAATTACTTTTTCAAGACGCCGCTTTTATTTCAGGTACAATTATGGTGTTTCCTTTAAATTCGAAATTTATAGGCTTATATTTTTTTCTGAGAATTGGATTCAAACGTAAAAATTCTTTCAGTTTCAGCATTGGTCTTTCGAGCAGTAAAAGTACCCGCAAAATGACTACTGTTGCGTATCGGTTAATGGATTGAATTATTCTAGTGGGAAGTCCATTAGCTGAGAAGTTCGGGAAGAGTAATTTGAAGCTGTATAGAAAGCTGATTGATTCCCTATTCCAGAAAATGTTTTGGAACTGATTCCCGTAGGCATTTTCTGCAAAACTTCACGAACAAAAAACACATTGTTGAATAAAATAATGATACATTTCGTAAAATGAAGCCAGAAATACCTGGAAATACGGAGAACGATGCTAAAAGTGAGCTTTTATATCTTAAAAGCTTTTGCTGTACTTGAAAAATTATGCTCACAGCCGAATTTTCCACGGCGACTTGGTTTTTGTTGTAGGAAAACCTCCGAATGCAGCGTGTAATCTGGATCAATAATTTGTGTCAGCATGTGTCCGTTATTGTCAGATGAATTCATTATAAGGATCCAAGATCATATTTATCAAGCTTTCTTGAAGGGATTGCAACGAAGGGGACGTTTGATTGAGTTTCACATTCAACTTTTTTTCAAGAGAGACGAGTTTCGAACGAAAAGAAGAGAGTTATTCAAGGTGCTTTTGGATCTCTTTCAAACTTTTAGGACCAACGAAAAATCAATTCCAGAAACGCCAAGATTTTTTTGGATTGATGCGCCAAATTTTCCGTCCAGCTCTTTCCAATTATCATTTTAAACTAAACCATCATCGTGGTTACCTTCTGATGATCTGTGTTTGAGGTCACGGTGACGAAGAAAAAAAAAACCATTCTGTTGTTGACACCGTAAAACCGAATACGGTTTCTTGTGATGAGTTTTTGTTCTTAAGAAGAAGAAACAAGAGGAAAGAAACATTTGTCTCGTGGAAAGCGGTTTGATCTGTATACAAATTTGAATGACATTGGTTGCAATGCTTGTGAGTGTGTAATTTATTGCCGGGAAAATGAGATGTTCGTGCGGGTTGCGAAATTATGTTTTTTGTTTGGGGACGAGGAAAAAAGGAAATGATTTGCTCAGTTTGTCTGTTGAGCTTTCCGAGGACGAAAATGTATTTTCTTCGAAGGATTTCAGCTGAAAAGTGTTGACAAATTCCTGAAAATTTGAATGGTTACAATGTATGTCCGGAGAATGGTAACTTATTTCTCTTAATGAGAAAATATCTAGCAGTGCTGCCTCGGTGAATGGACTTCACCCATCCCAGTGATTAACCGAAAGATTCGAATTCGTACCGTATTTAAAAATGCGTATAACTGATCTCAATAGCTCTCCTTAAAATTTCGATTGAGTAATGTGAAGCTTATCGGTAATGAACTTCAGGTTCCTTCGAAATTTTCGAATAAATTCCCTGATGAATATGATCTCAAAATGAATTTTCGTGAAAATTACACAAAAAAGCAAGTACAATAAGTCTCAACCTAATCTGGACTGCAAAAAATTCACTTGTCCACATGGAAATTTTCCCTCTGCAACGTTAATTTGTTGATTTCAAATCATCTTTCATGCATTGCTTAATCTGAAGCTGGGTTTTTAAATCGCGAAAAAAATTGTTGAATTCCCGAGTCCACAGCAAGAAGAACTCGGTATGCGAGACTTCCATTGTCCGAGGCAACACCGTTGTCCTGGAGAAGACATCGTACAACCGAAGGCTGATCGTGGAATTCAGAAGACGTAGTAAGAATTGTAAGATTAAGGACTAGTCTAATAACAGGTGAAGTTCAGGATAATAAATTACCGATAGCGTCTCATTTTTTGTGAATTTTTCAACAGATCTTTTTCGATGTCCGACGTTAAGCTACGCTTCGGTGAAGTCCTGTTCTGATGTTGGAACCGAAATATCAGGATCTTGTGCTAAAAAAAAACATTCTGGAAGTCTTCTCGATTCAACTGGATTGCCTTTTGACTGTGAGTTGCAATGGTTCTTGCATCGCTTAATGAACGTGATCCATTCCTGTGTCGTGAGTTCATCGTCCAAGAAGTCTGGTAAATGAGTAATGTGACCGACCCTATTTGGATTGACAGATTAATTCGAGATCTTTAGAGTTTCCCAGGAAAACTTAGCCCATCCGAAACTTGGTAAACGGTAATGTATAGTTTTGGATACCTTGTTCCACGTAAATTATGAAATCAAGTCTTGAATGATTTTCCGTACGGATGCAATTTTCCTTCAACTTCAAAATTGCATATGATGATGAAAATTAATTTTATGTATTGGTAATTTGAGTATGTACTTGAGTGATAGGGTAATGAAAATTGTTTTTCGGAATCTTCGCAAGTTAGCGACGAAAAAATTCAATGGACGGAATTAAAAGAAGAGAGAAATTTAATTTTCGCCCGTTTTGATTCAAGATCACATCGCAGATGGGGGAATAGCTAGGTTCTTTCTTAGGTAGAGCTCAAATTCACGTTGATTTATCGAAACAGGTCCGAGTTTTATTCAATCACTCATTTTCTTCCGTTTGTTTGTCAATTTGTAAGTTGGCAACGCGATCGATTGTTCGGCGACAGTTCATTTAAAAAGGAATGCTGAAAAGTAATGAACATTCACGAGTAACGTCGTGAGTCAAATTATTCTGACGAGGTATTTTTCTGTTTTGATCAATTCTGCCTTCTTTCTTTTGCCTTCCAATCAAGTCAATTTTGTAACTTTTCGGCATGAACGACGTACATGAAGGTCACACGTATCCGAGGGTTTGTTTGACATATTATTTTTACTGAACAAATTCGCAGCGACGAATGAAAGTGTGTTTAGATGTTGGTAATCACGAATAACTGTTCTATTTTCATTCTTCTCTTTGATTTCGTTTCATCAATAAACCATGTATTACGGAAAAATCTTCATCTATCTATAACATTGAATTAGACATTCATTTTTCCTTCGCTTGTATATATTCGGTCGTTTATACTGGTATACTGTGACGGAACGTATGCAAACAACAGGTGAAGCGGGAAATGACGCGGAATTGAAAAGGAAATCAACGCAAGCAGGGATCGTGGGACTCAGTCCTTGTGATCTCTCAGGATTACAGTTCTAATATACGTTTCTCGTCGCCATAGAAGTCTTCCCTCCCGAACTGTGGAACGAAACAGCGTCCCGGCATAGGCTGATACCAGAGTTCCGAATCAGCCGGGATTTTCGTTTTTGTTTTCGGTTCTTGAGCGCAAATGGAAACGTATAGTAGCTGTTGAGACCGTGATTATGATGAGTAGTTGGATGATGTTGGCACTGTTGCTTCCATCTTGTTTCGTTCTTGCCTCTGCTGCTGTGAATCGTGGTGGACGGATTATCGGTGTCAGCAGTGATAATGATGCCCTCAGCGAAACTTACAGGAAAACGGATTATGGGGCTTTGATTCTCGATGCCAAGAATTTTGCGAGCACTGTTCAAAAGGTCAAGCTTCTTGTCGTCCTGTTTTGTGAGTTGATATTTGCATTTTTTAAACTGGGGATCTGTAGATATATTTGTGTGTGGTCTGTTCATACAATGTCAGTCGAACTGCGTCCGATGACCATTTCATCTCATTGCTCAGGGTCTCTATCGATCTTTTGACGTTAAAATTATCCAGTAATTTTTATCCGAAGGGAAATCATGTAAAATCTTTTTGCATCATGTTTTACCACAATTTCTGTGACCTTGTCCACCTTGCGCATTTCGATTCTCTCCTGCGACTTGGACATTTTGTAAAAATTCTGATTCATTACTCGGGGATTCACTTTTCAAGTTCGTCGTTGAAAATTTTTCGAATGGAGCGGTTTATGGACTTTAGGGGCGTAGAATGTTGTGGTGATTCCGCATGGATTTACTTTACCCATTTTGTAGAATAGACGATTCGGATGATAAACTTTCTGCCGAGAAGTCGATCGATCGGAGCAATACTGTTGATTTTTGTATTCATATTTTATTCAATTTTTTTCAAGATGCACCATGGTGTCCGCATTCGCAGAATTTCCTGGTGCATTACCGAAAGATTACGAAGAGTTTCATTGCGAAGAAATCCCCAGTCGTGATCTCAGAAGTGGATGGATCCAGTCCCGAAGGAAGTCCTTTACTGGCGACGGAATCCGTTGAATTCTACCCTCAGCTTGTGCTCTATCGAGCTGGAATGCAAATCAGATTCACGGGTAAACAATTCACGCTGCATTCTTTGTTTAGTTCTGTTGAGTTTTTTATGAGATAATATTATCAATGCGAAATGCTGGAACTGGATGCGATGTTTGTGCAGAATTCATTTATTTTGATTTTGATTTTATTTTTTGTCCGATTTCCTGGGGACATGCATTGGATTAGCAGCAAATTCTTCGGACAGTGACGTTTTAACTGCAAAGGTCTAGAATTTCCCATTTCGTGTCCAAATGGTCCAACGCGTGTTGGGATGGCGCTAAGGTTTTTTTTTCCTTCGACGCAAATGTCCTCATTACTTCTGCTGCACATAATTTTCTGTAGTACTGTACTGTATTAGCGTATTTTTGTTTCAGTGGAAACTTAGTGATACGCGTGAAGCATCCTGTGTCTCTATACAAAAGTCTGCCTGTTGCATCGTCCACGTAGAATTCTACTGTAATTCGAAAATTTTTGCGTTAAAGCGAGGAATTCATGCCTTTATAATAGCCCAACTTATCCATTTGAAGGATAAGACTCCGGGATCTGTTTTGTTAACAGGAAGTGTGATCCGTGACGGGATCAAGCACTTCTTCACAAAAGCATCCGCGTGGTCAAGAAAATACCTGTTCCATTAAAAATCGAGATTGAACTGCTATAGAAGTGTTGATGAACTACTGTAGATCCCTTCAAAACGTTCTGAAGAAAGAGCCCGAATTGAATAATAATTTACATGCTTATTTGAAGGTGAGCGATTGGATATGCGAGTGGTGAAATGGATCCAGGAGCTGACCACGCCGCGAGTCATATCTCTAACATCACTAGCTGACGCCAGTAATGCGTTGATGAAACATCAAGACGTTCTGATGGGCTTTTTCAATGTGAGTTACTTATTTACATTCAAGGTTCTCGACGGTTTTAAATCAAGGAGCCCTTTTTGGACTGGCTTTTGTCATTTGGATAATTATTTTTTGGACGGTCTTTATTGTTGTACTACGTAGAATAATCCCGGGCTTTTTTTTTGAGAGATAGCGCATTATACTCTCGATTTGATCAGACGAAAGCGTATTTTATATTTTTGGGAGATCGTTTGAAGGACACGAATGGATGTACGAGTACTGTAGTTTTTTCGATGTATAGGAAGTGAAGGGCGTTTGATATCCTCTATTTGAAATTTAATGGATTTTCCACCATGCGGTTTTTTGCGCATGAGGGAACCCTTCTCTGTTTTTGTTTGTTTGTTTACTTTTGGAGAATATTGTCATTGGCATTCTTACTTCCTTATCAAGATATAATAGAAAGACATACCAGTTTCTACGTTTGCTTCGTCTTCTGTCTCTATATGAAGCAAACACGGAGCACCTGGCAAAATCAAGATGGGAGTTTCCGGGGCTCCGCGGAGTGCCGCTGTTCCTGGTTTACGTGTTCGAACTTCCAATTTGAAGTGCCAGAAACTGATGAAATTTAGGAAGGCTTAATTTTGTGGCGAGGAACTTCAGACTGCTTCATTCGAAGTTGATGTGAATATACAGAACTTAGTCTCGTATTCCAAAGAAAGAAAATTAAGCGCAGGTCGGGTTGCCTCAAATGCAACGAACCAGCATTCCGTGGAATAAAAAAGAATTCGAAAAGGGTTTATACTGTGGATACAAGAAATCACCGTAGAACCAATATATAGTGTAGAACTTTGTGCGTCATGAAATTCCGCCCGACGGATTCAGTTCGATAATAAAACGGTACTGGGAAACCGTGAGCGAGGCTCAAAAAATAAAGTCCTCCTGAGTGAGGGGAAAAAGGGGCAGAACATTGGGAGTAATGAGGGATACATTTTATTATATTGGCCGTTCTATTTATTCTGCGATGGTTGGTTCGGAAGTTGTGTAACTGTCCCTGTAATGTACGATCCCATCACCGGATGTACGTATATGCTGTACTGATAATACATTTTTTCAATGTGAAGATGGAGTATTCCAAGATTAGCACCTGTACAGTATTTATAAGGGATAGAATTGTATCCTTCCCACGAGTTGAAGAATATTAGCATTAATAATTTGGACTGAACGGAACACGTTTCCCGTGTGTACAGACGTAGTACTGTACTTCAAAGCAAGCATCCATAGGATACGGGAGTCTAAAACTAATTTTTATATAAACTCATGTGAATTAATTCCTGTATATTGTACTGTAAATCTTCAGGGTAACAATACGAGAGGAGCAGAGCTATTCATGGACTCCACAATCGGGATCCACGACGACGTCAAGAGAATCGTGGTTCAACTGAACCACCCAGAGTTGACTCGTCTCCTGCCATCACCAGCATCCAACCCTGACAACGAGGTGATCATCCTGTTGCGCAAATACTCTGCATCTTCTGTGGAGTGGGCAAAGATTCCAATGAAACTACTGCGACTGCGGAAAGAAAAAGAGCTGTCTGCTCTTGGTGCTGCCCGACGCTCTCCGAGACTAAGTGGTGGTGGCAATGATGCTCTTCCTGAAGGAGCCGAGGGCATGGATGATCAAGGAGGGCAGGCATTTGAGCTCCCGGGAGACGCTTTTCCTGGGGCTGTTGGTGGCGGTGGGCAACAATAAGCGTGAAAAAACAACGAAAAGTGCCAACTATGAGAAAGTTTACCCTGACACTCCGTGAAACCCGGAAATCAAGTGCAAACCGTGGTGTCGATTTGAACGAAATACTGAACAATACTGCCTTTCTCAGATTGAAAACTACTCACCCTTCAACGCACACACACTTGTAGAAAAATCCACCGGATGTGTGAGATGACCGTTACTTTCTCAGATTTGAGGAGTGCGGTGGAAGACGGATTGAGAAAATGTGATCACGACGTAGGAAATGTCGTATTTTTCACCCGCAAATCGTTGCCGATGTGATTAATAACTTTTAACCTCGAACACCATTTTGCCGCAATTCTTCGAATTTATCGTGTCTTAGCGATGGTTGTGACTTTCAACCACTTTTTGTGAATCCTGAAGATTTAATCAAATATTCCTTCTGTAATCTGTATTAATTGCTTTTCTCGTATTTTATTTGAATGACGAATTGTGGTGCATCTGTATGCAGCATTTTTCGATAATCAAATCTAATGAGTATCACTTTAAGGAGAGTTCATAAGTATTAGTGCTGAAAAAAAGGAAGTAAGTGGACTTCTCAATTGACAAAATCCATTATTTTGTATTTATCATATTGTAATAAGAAATTTGGGGTTGAAGGCGACAGAACTTCGTGAAGTGTGCTTTGTGCATTGTGTGCCCCTTCAATGGTATATTTGAACTGAGTGATATTTTGTTGCACAAATCGGTGTGATGAGAGGTCTGTTGAGTTATCTTTAAAATGAAGACCACTTTTTCAATTGATTTTTTTTTCATTGCGCCAAGACAACCATCACAACAACAAAAATAATAAAAGCCTGAAGGTGCAGAACTATCACGTATCCAGACTGGGAGGATGTTGTGAATCCTGAAAAGCTATTTACTGACATGTATGGATTTTTTATTCAGCTGATAATCCTTCAAATAAGATGCAATGGCTAGAAATCATCTTTAAAACTTCAAGCAAGTACTATTTTTTAATGCAGTGGAGTCTTTTCAGCCAACAAGTGCTCATGCTCATGAATATTGAAGCCACCTGACTCTGATTTACAAGCACTGATCTAGCTTTTAAATTTCTGTAAGGGTCGCAAATCCAAAATGTATCTTTACAAACTATCATCAGAATTTTATTCCCTGCTGTAAAACACGTTCAAAATAATTTAAATGTATCCAAAATTTCATGAAACCATCAGTTTTGTCTGAATTCCCTTGAGAACAGTATGTTATAGAACTCTCCAGCTGGAAGAATTCCCCCCCTCAAAGCTCTATTGAAAATTAGTTATAGATTTGATTAAAGACTGGAAATTAGAGTGTGTAAAATAAATAGCTGAACAAATCACATGTTCGATCATCCAAGGTTTGGAAAAGAAAGTAAAGAAAAGACATTCTCAAGGGTGACCAAATCTATCATTCTTCAATCCTGCAAATGAATCACAGAACAGTTGAACAAGGTTCCATACTTTTCCCGCGTTTCAAAGTCAAAATGCTCTCATCCAACACTACCACATCATGGCCGCATACAAAACAGCGTCATACACATCCAAAATAAAATAAAAAAGCATTCTTTCATTGAAGCGATACAAAAAGGGTTCTTTGATTGTTTTAAAAGTGCAGCATGATGTATGTGTTTTCCACTTGTGAATGGTAAAACATTATTATTATGTACGCATACCAACTTTAGATGCCAGTGCAATTATAATCATTCAAGAAAAATGTTTTTCTATTCGAATGCGAATTTGGGAAGGGATACATTTTTCCTTATGTTTAATTTTCTACGTGTGTCAATATATTCGTTTTGAGAAAATTCGAATTTGAAGCTATTGACAAGTTGACAACGAATCATAACATTCAAGCAATACGATTACGATCATTTCAATTGTTTTATTTAATTTTTTCCCAAGAATTCTTAAATTCGCACTATTAATTTTGGACAGAAAAAAACTGATTCTTGATGATTTATTCGTGCAATAATGAAGTGTTCGAACGCATTGAAAATTTGAAAGTTTTTTTTTCAAAAGCATTCAGGATAAAACTATTTATCCTAATTTATTCAGTAAATTACGTCATTTCAGAAATCAATTTCAAGTTTGCCACAGCAGATTTCAGACAAATTGATTATATTGTTATCTTCAAAATTAATTTAATAAAAAGCAAGTGCTTGAAATAATCATTCAAAGCTTGCCACTCATTCTATAGACGAACTAATGATTAATCTTGAGGCATTTTAAATATACATTCGCGAAGATGAGCACGTGTTTAAAACTTGGAATTGAAACTTCGTCGCAAGCATTCAGAAGAAACAATTGTTTTCAAGATGTTACTGAATTATGATAATGAAAATTTCATTAGTGTCTGCTACCTTCTCCAGAAATTAAAAAAAGTATTCAAAATATGCTTGTGCATCTATTAGGAACATTAAAATTCCTCTTGAAAAATTTTTCTGCTGCGAAGAGTGAGATGAACCCCTCAAATTGCGAAGTTTCATATACTGAAGTATAAATACGCATGAAGACGAAAAAAATTTAAATCGCAAGCAGAAAATCGAGAAGTTTATGCATATATAAAATCCTCGGTGGGGGTTTTATAGAAAATCGTATCTGAATCTATGCCTTATATTAAAATCCTCACTCGCTTTCTAAAAACGGTTCATCGCACGACGACGACGAGCCCGAAGTCAAGGAAGACGTTGACGACGACGAGTCCGAGTAGTAAATGTGAGACACGAACCCTTGGCCTCGGGTTTCCCCGGCAACCCGAAACAGAACCCGGGCTCCTTGTTCCAGGTACTCTGGCCCTCGAAGGAACTCAAACATGACAGACACGGGTTCGTCGTCTGGATGACACGAGACGATCCACGCGTCGTTTCGTGGCTCGAGGTTCCGGGCGCCGAAAACCCCGCGCACTGCCGCCCCCTGGCGCACATTGCCAATGTGCAAAGTGGCATGACCGCCTTTTCGCAAAAGAAACACTGGGTAACCATCTTCTGCACCGGATTGGTTTTGTTGTGGTTGCTGCTGCTGGCAACCAGACAAGGTTAACTTTGCCTGGAATAAAAAGAGAAGCATTTTCTTTTTCTTGCAGGACTGTGCAAAAAAAATTGAAGAAAAGTAAAGCAACGAGGAAAATCACATCAGCCATTTCCGGTAGAGAATCTGCATTTTAAGGAATTACTTCAAATATTAATACAGTACTACTTTTCCAAATTATTCATATTCGCGTTATAGAAGATTAATACGGTAATCGACGAATAATTAAGAAAGCGCCTTAAATGCATGTTCATTCCTGGTTTTCCAAATTATTTTTTAATATTCGCACTGGAACATTAATCAAAGAATAATCAAGAAAGCATCTTAAATTTTTCATTCCTGGTTTTCTGAATTATACTTCTTCATTTTTGCATTTGAAGATTAATCGACGAAGTCAATGCAAGATAAAATTACGACGCAGTGAAATACAGTAATTGGAATATAGAGAAGAAAAGTTTCGGGAAATTATGTCCAATAAAAATTCAAGAATAATGAATGAACATCGGCAATCAAGTCGGCCATTTCTCCAGCCAAGAATTCGAACTTCAAGAAAGCACCTTAAATGTTCATTATTTTTATAGTTTTCCGACTAATTTACCCATTTGCGCGCATTGAAAGAGTAATCGAAGAATTGAACGAAGGAGAAAAAACAATCAACGCAATTGAATCGGCGCAAAAGTTTCATATGGACTCAAAAAATTCCACAAGTCAAATACTTTATATATCCCTTTGAGTTCAACATACGTAAGGAGATCTTTGAAAATTATACTCCGGAGATTTATATATTAAAAAAATGAAAAGTTGTCCTAATTTTGCGACTCATCTCATATTGGATTAAGCACATGATAAATTCCGATTTTTTTTGTGTGTGCCGAATTTCAACGTGCGCTCACCAAGAAATGTTTGGCAACTCTGGACTCTTGACACGGATCCAATAGAACCATTCCTTTCCGTAATCTCGGCAATCTGTTGGCCGGAGAATCATTAATCGGGCAAAGACTCAGAGAAGCGCTTTGGGAAGCCATACGACGCAGTGAAATACAGTAATTGGAATATAGAGAAGAAAAGTTTCGGGAAATTATGTCCAATAAAAATTCAAGAATAATGAATGAACATCGGCAATCAAGTCGGCCATTTCTCCAGCCAAGAATTCGAACTTCAAGAAAGCACCTTAAATGTTCATTATTTTTATAGTTTTCCGACTAATTTACCCATTTGCGCGCATTGAAAGAGTAATCGAAGAATTAAACGCAGGAGAAAAAACAATCAACGCAATTGAATCGGCGCAAAAGTTTCATATGGACTCAAAAAATTCCACAACTCAAATACTTTATATATCCGTTTGAGTTCAACATACGTAAGATCTTTGAAAATTATACTCCGGAGATTTATATATTAAAAAAATGAAAAGTTGTCCTAATTTTGGGACTCATCTCATATTGGATTGAGCATATGATAAATTCGGATTTTTTTGTGTGCGCCGAATTTCAACGTGCAATCACCATGAAATGTTTGGCAACTCTGGACTCTTGACACGGATCCAATAGAACCATTCCTTTCCGTAATCTCGGCAATCTGTTGGCCGGAGAATCATTAATCGGGCAAAGACTCAGAGAAGCGCTTTGGGAAGCCCGAACCACGCAACAATTGGCCTTATTCCTGTGGATAGTTTTCACGATGATCGGCATGAATTCTCCTCTTCCCACGGGACCTTTGAATGTTTTTTTTTTCACAGGAATTGATTCTTTCAGTAAATTCAGCTCGATTTAATGCAGTGAGCAGCAGCGTCCATTCAGTACCTAATTTCAGTCGCATATTTTCCGTGATGACGCCCTTTGTCAGCAGCCCACCAACAACTGCACCAACTTCCGGTATGTTCCACGATTCGTCAATTTGAAATTGTACACGTTCCTGGATAAAAGAAAGAAAGCCTTTGGTTTAATCGCGTTCAAATCTGTTGTTATTCGAGAAAAAATTTGCACAAATAAAGCGTAATGCTGACTGTAAGATTCTTTCAAATGCAGGCATCGCATGTTATATTGAGAGATTAAAGCTGAATCAATCTGCTTAAAATGAGATGAATCGCGAAGATTTTCAGATTGGAATATTTTCCATTTGATCATGATCATATCGCTTTTAGAAATTGTCACCTTGAAGACTTCTTAAATGCTGGTAAAGTATATTGAAAGAGTTCATTGAGACTGATTAAAAATGCATGAATCATGCAAATGCTGCAAACATTTTCTTTGGACCTCCATGGTTCCCTTTTCACCCCGCTTTTCCTTTCAACCTGGTTAATCAAAATTTCCAACAATAACAAGAAAAATAGAAAGTATCGACTTTGTCAAAATGATGGTCCAATTCTGAAAGGAAAGCAGAAACCTGACATCAAAAGAGATGCTGGAAGCATTGCTTTTACTTGAATATTTGTTGTGCTGAAACAAGTGAACTGTATTGTATCAGAATAATATTTCACAAACACTGAAGTTTGTGAAATATATACAATAATTATATTGTAGTGTAGGGGAACCTCTTGAAGGTTCCTTCAAAGACCAGTGAAGGTCAATTATTCTGGTTAACCTGTTGATCTTCTGAATTGAGATGCAGTTAACTTGCTCTAAACCAAAAAGAGTACAATAAACCCATAATCCTCATTATTGGTGGCAGCGGTGGGATAATAATTATAGATAATAAATTATAGACAATAATTTAAAGTGATTATGTATCTGCACAGTGGAATTTATTGATTGTAGGATGATTTTTGTTATGCACATAAATGTTGAACATGGTCTTGCAGCTTCATTAATAACTTATAAATAAAAAATAATCAATCCTCTCTAAACATAAAAGTGCTTGATTAATTGTTGTGTCAGGGAATTCATAATCCTGGCAGCTTTCAACTTTCCAAAATTTAGAATTTGTCAAATGTTCCAATTTGTTTGTTGTTGTTGTTGGCTGAAAAGGAC